CCCATCCATAGTTGTCCAGTGTCATTTGCATATCATCTCTTACTTTACCAATTCCATGTTCCTTCCTTGGGTTTCTATGGATGTTTCTGCTGGTTGTGCACCTGTCTAGGGACTTTGGGAGTCCCTATGTTTAGAGGAGAGTTATATAACTGCATAACTGTCCATAACTTATGCATAGCTTATTTGCATCGAGTCTTTGTCTGCTGTCTCTGGCTTTAGGGTGTAGTGGGGACATCTCCCCAAGTAGCCGCATGGTTTTACTGTGCATACCTCAGTGGATTGTGTCTAATGTTTACATATATGTGTTGGCCTCTTTGTGAATCCAACCACAGCTGCTCTGTGTATTTTTCTGGCCAACTGTTCCTGTGAGTGGCTATCCCTCCCTAAGCCCACGGACGGTAATCCTGGCTCAGACTTGTGGCCAGTCGCTGGCTTTAGCTGCCTTTGTGTTCTGTATCTGCGGAACGCCCCCAGGCCAGCCTGTCCGAACTCTGTCCTAACCGAACCTCTGGCCCGGATGCCTCAGTTTAGACACACCCACACATTCCTTTTTCTGCCGCTGCCTTGTAACAAGCTCATTGCCTGCCCCTGCTCCCCACAGGAATCCTCGATAGATGCCACTGTAAGTGGGGACAGAAGCTGCTCAGGTAAGTCTCACACATGTGCTGTAGGTTAATGCATTCATTCTACAGACTCACACAAACCACCCCATCTCATAGTGCTGAGAACTGCCATTTCCCAAATGCTGGCTAAACACGTTTAATCCTCACACCAATCCCGTGTGGTAGCTAGTATCCTCATTCTGTGTTGTCAGCACAGATATACGTATGCCCATTGATGGTACAGACTGGCACACATGCAAGCAGCAGAAACAATCACAAAACACTAATGCACACATGGTAATATCTTTTTTTATTGAAGTGTAGTTGATATACAATATTATATTAGTTTCAGGTATACAATATAGTGATTCAGTGTTTATATACGTTACGAAGTGATCACCATGATAACTCTAGCTACCATCTGTCACCATGCAAAGTTATCACAGTATTATTAACTATATTCCTTATGCTATACATTGTGTCTTTTTTTTAATAACTGGAAGTTTCGACCTCATATGGTACTATCTTTACTTTTTTTAAGATTTTTAAATTTTATTTTAAGTACAATCAACTTCCCAACGTGGCACTCAGACTCATGACCCCAGGATCAAGAGTCACATGCCAGGCCCCACATGGTACTATCTTTAATTATAAAAACCACACTTCACATTTGAGCTATTGTCTGTTGACTTTCAAAATTGTGTCTCTATTTCTGAGCTGTATATGTGGGATGCTCACCGCACGTCATCACCAGTTGCAATTTCTATAGGCAGTTCAAGCTCAGAGCATCTAAACTGATGCCCACTGGACCTGTTCGTCTTCCTGCATCCTTTTTTATCTGCATAATGGCATCGCTGGCAGTACTGCTTCTCAACCTTGGATTGATGCTTCTCCTTCACCCTTCATATTCAATTATTCACTAAGGCCTATTGATTGTACCCTGAAATGTCTTTCTCAGCCATCTCTCTCCCTCTTTCCACTGCTCTAACTCTGGCTGTAATCATTTCTAACCTTGGGCATTGTATTCACCTTCAGATTGGTCTCTGTGCTTTGAATCTCTTCTTTTTCCAATCTGTCCTTCGTTCTAAAATACTTGTCATTCCACAACAGAGATCTGAGCATGTCACTCCACTTTTTTTTTTTTTTAAACCTTAAGTAAAAACAAAATAACATAAACCTCAGACTTCCCCGTTCTCCGTGGGATGGAGATTAACATCTTTAGCAGTATGATGTTCAGGGCCCCTCCCATTCACCCCAATTTAAACTTCCATGATTATTTTCCCAAGCCCTTCCTAAATCCATCCTTACTGGATCTGCCCTATAGTCCAGTCATTTGGGCCACTTTCCATCATGGAAATACACCATGCCCATGTTTATGCAGTTCCCTCTGGAAAGTTTTTCCCTTGTTCTTCACCTGTCAGAATCTTACATCTTCTTCAAGGTACAAGCCAACTATCACCTTCGTGGTGAAACTTTCACAGGCACCCATAAGGATACTGACACACACCTTCCCATTTGCTCTCACGTTGCCTGTTTGTTTTCTAGTTGCACTGTCACGTCAGGTTGGAGTTAGCGGTTGGTGAATCTGCTTGTTCTCATAGCTGTGAGCTCCGTACAGCAGTCATTCCTGTTACCTCAGTGCCTGCCACATGGCCTTGTATGTAGTAGCACCGAGTGAGTGAGTAGGTACACAAATGCAAACACATTGGTCAAGTCATCTGTACAAACTCAGAGCTGAAACCTTTGCTAGCCTACAGGTGCGCAATCCTTTACCCACCTCACCTGCCCTGCACTGTGTGTCTTTTAGAGATTAATTTAGGATAATCTGAGGTCATCTCCAGGTAATTGGGATGCCTTCATTACCCACGCATTCTACAGGTGCAGATCTCTAATCTCAACCAGGGATGAGAGAGAAGGAATTCTCAGGGGAGAAGAGATCAGCATTAAAGGGGAGGGGAGGAATGCAGATCCCCCCAGGTAGGATCCAGCAGGGCATGGAATCACAACCTGAATCATGAACTAAGGACCCAGTTGGCCTCCAACTGGACAGGGCACCAGGAAGGTGACTGAATGTCACATTATGCTCTAAAGAGCACTGTGCTCACAGTCTGGAGACCTGAGTTTGAGACCCAGCTCTAGATTTTGGACAAGCTGCTTGTCTAAGGGCTTCATTTCCTCAGCTATAGAATTAGGAGGTTCAGCTTGACTAAGATTTCTCCTGGCACTAGCAGTACGTGAGTCAGAAAAACCTAAGTATTTTTTTTAATGCTTATTTTTGAGAGAGAGAGCGAGAGAGAGAGATTGCTAGTGTGAGCACAAGTGGAGGAGGGGCAGAGAATCCAAAGTGGGTTCTGTGCTGACAGCAGAGAGTCCCATTCAGGGCTCAGACTTGCAAGCCACAACATCATGACCTGAACCAAAGTCAGATGCTTAACTGACTAAGCCACCCAGGCGCCCTGAAAAACCTAGGTATTTTACAAGAAAGTCTGCTTGTACTCTCCAAGGTGGGGAAGAGTATTCACAGACTGACCTACACAGCTGCTGGTGGAGCTCTCTGTGGCTAAGGAGCAGAGGTGCCTAAAACCTACCCTCGAATCCAACCTAATTCTCCACTTTACTCTAACCTGGGGTGTTCTAACCCAGGGTAACTGGCCATAGACTATATAGTGTGAGATACATATCCTCGGGCCATAGTGTCTCCATAGGTTGGTTCTTTATATAAAGTAGCATGCCTGGGGTGGCTGGGTGGCTCAGTCCGTTGACTTTGGCTCAGGTCATCATCTCACAGTTTGGGGATTTGAACCCTGCATCGGGCTTTGCGCTGAGAGCTCAGAGCCTTCTTTGGATCCTCTGTCTCCCTCCCTCTCTGCCCCTCCCCCCCAAAATATATAAACATTAAAAAAATAAATAAAGTAAAATAACATGCCTAATGGCTTGCTCTAATACAGAAAAGAATTCATGGGCTCACAGGTCCTTGCAGAGTCTCACACTCTTCATAGCCATAGAGAAGATAGGGGCACCCAGAATTAGACAAACACAGAAGAAACATTTATTACCGTATACTAATTTATTAGGAAATACCTCAGGCACACAAAATGTGGAAGTAATAATAATACAAACGTCTATGTTTGCACGAACAAATTTAAGAATAAGGCAATGTTTTTGAAGGGGCGCCTGGCTGGATCAGTTGGTAGAGCATATGACTCTTTTTTTAAAACATTTTTTTTTAATGTTTTTGACAGAGAGAGAGACAGAGCATGAGCAGGGGAGGGGCAGAGAGAGAGGGAGACACAGAAGCCAAAGCAAGCTCCAGGCTCTGAGCTGTCAGCACAGAGCCTGACACAGGGCTTGAACTCACAGACTGCGAGGTCATGACCTGAGCTGAAGTCGGACGCTCAACTGACTGAGCCACCCATGCACCCCAAGCATATGACTCTTGATCTTGGGGTCATGAGCTTGAGCCCCAGAGTGGGTATAGAACTTACTTAAGAAAAAAAAAAAAAGACATTGTCATTGAAGCCTCTTCAGTATCCTTCCCAATCCTTCTCTGCAGAGATGACCATTATCATGAATTGAGGATTATCACTCCACATGGAATGGTTATATACTTTTACAGAACAACAAGAGAAGATGAACGTGTGTGCAATTACACCCAGAGACACTTTCACAGCTAAATGCAGATAAACTCACGCTGACTCACCGTCTCCTACTCAGCTGCAGAGAGAACTAGAGTGTTGGCACACAAATACCTCAATACGCTACACTCCCTCTAAATATTGACAAGCTCCATTACATATCCACATGGAATGACACATGGTTACATCCATCAAAACCATGATAAACAGAGTCGTGCTCACATGCAGAGATTTTTAGTAGATCTGTGTAAACACGCCCGCATAGATACTTGCCAGTACAGATACTGATTACCACAATCCCCAGGGACCTCCAGACACACATTTTCACAAACTGGGATCAAGACAATAACGAGAACAGATGTAATTTCTGTCCCCACCCCCCGTGTCATGCCTCACTTCCAGGCTATGGTTCACACGTCCGACTCACGACCTGGGAGAGCTAAATTCTCGGTTGGATGTCATTCAGTTTTTCCTACTACCCCAGAATCTGGACATGGCTCAAATGCTGCATCGGTTGCTGGGTCATATCAAGAATGTGCCTGTGAGCCAGGGGTGGGGGCCGGGAGGTGGGGAAGGAGTTTGAGGGTCAATATTGGACATGGGGCTTTTTGAGGAGCATTAGAGTGGGAGAGGGAAAACAATGGCTGTCCCTTTGACTGTAGCTGATTTTGAAACGCATGAAGCTGTCCCACACCAAGGTCAGCGACTGGCAAGTTCTGTACAAGGTAAGTTCTTCCTTCTTGAATCCCAGAAGTCCAAGTTAAGTCCCTCAGCATGTGATCCAGACCTTCTGTACTCTGGTCACCCTCTCCAACTTTATCCTGACACTTTTTTTTTTTTTTTTTTTTTTTTTTTTTTTTGAGAGAGAGAGAGTGCACGAGTGAGAGCAAGCATGAGCCGGGGTGGGGGGGAGGGGGGCAGAAAAAGAGGGGGAGAGAGAGAGAGAATCTTTTTTTTTTTTTTTAACATTTATTTATGTTTGAGACACAGAGAGAGAGACAGAGCATGAACCGGGGAGGGTCAGAGAGAGAGGGAGACACAGAACCTGAAACAGGCTCCAGGCTCTGAGCTGTCAGCACAGAGCCCGACGCGGGGCTTGAACTCATAGACCGTGAGATCATGACCTGAGCTGAAGTCGGATGCTTAACCGACAGAGCCACCCAGGCACCCCGAGAGAGAGAGAATCTTAAGCAGGCTCCATGCTCAGCTCAGAGCACGACTCGGGGCTCGATCCCCCAGACCCTGGGATCATGACCTGAGCTGAAATCAAGAGTTGGATGCTCGACTGAGCCACCCAGGCACCCTATCCCAACACTTAAAAAAAACAAGAAAAAAACTTCGTATTGTAGAAGTTGTGAAAAAAAAATTTTAGAGTAATATAATGAGCCTCCATGTACCCACGATGCAGCTTTGACACTTGGACTCATGCCAATCTTGTTTCATGTATATCTTCTCTTTGCTTTCCCCTTCCTGGATTACTTTGAAGCAAATTCCAGCCATCATATAATTTCACCCATAAATATGTTAATATGATTTCTAAAAGAAAATTTCTCTTTTTTTTAAATGCTTATTTATTTTGGGGGCACCTGAGTGGCTCAGTCGGTTAAGCGTCTGACTTCAGCTCAGGTCATGATCTTGCGGTTCGCGGATTCAGGCCTCGCATCAGGCTCTGTACTGACAGCTCAGAGCCTGGAGCCTGCTTTGGATTCTTTGTCTCCCTCTCTCTCTCTGCCCCTCCTTCACTCACACTCTGTTTCTGTCTCTCTCAGAAATAAACATTAAAAAAAATTTTTTTAATGCTTATTTATTTTTGAGAGAAAGAGTATGAGCATGAGAGGGGCAGAGAGAGAGGGAGACAGAGTATCAGAAGTGGGCTCTGCACTGATAGCAGCTAGCCCAATGTGGGGCTTGAACTCATGAACCATGAGATCATGACCTGAGCTGAAGTCAGATGCTCAACTGACTGAGCCACCCAGGTGCCCCAAAAATTACTTTAAAAATTTTTTTTAATGTTTATTTATTATTGAGAGACAGATAGAGCATGAACATGAGAGGGGCCGAGAGAGAGGTGCCCCCCAAAACTACTTTTAAAAAGGAATAATGGGGGTGCTTGGGTGGCTCAGTCAGTTAAGTATCAGACTCTTGGTTTCTGCTCAAGTTTGATCTCACCATTTGTGGGATTGAGCCATGCTTTGGAGCCTGCTTGGGATTCTCTCTCTCCCTTTCTTTTTGTCCCTCTCCCCCACTTATGTGGGTGCTCTCTCTCTCACAATAAATATAAATAAAAACTTAAAAAAACATAAAAAGGAATAACAATATCATTATCTTACTAACAATCAGCATAATTCTTGAATATCACAAATTGTCCGATGTTCACATTTCTATTCTTTTTAAGAGCAGGTTTTTAAAAATTTTTTGTAATGTTTTACTTTTGACAGAGAGAGAGAGAGAGAGAGAGAGAGCAAGCGCAACTGGGGGAGGGGCAGAAAGAGGGAGACACAGAATCCAAAGCAGTCTCCAGGCTGTCAGCACAGAGCCTGACACGGGGCTCCAACTCATGAACCATGAGATCATGACCTGAGCCAAAGTTGGAAGCTTAACTGACTGAGCCACCCAGGTGCCCCACATTTTTTTTAATGTTTATTTATTTATTTTGAGAGAGAGAGAGAGAGAGAATCCCAAGCAGGCTCCATGCTGTCAGCATAGAGCCCCAACTGGGGCTCGAACTCATGAACCATGGGATCATGACTTGAGCCAAAATCAAAAGTCAGATGGGGCGTCTGGGTGGCTCAGTCGGTTAAGCGTACAACTTTCGCTCAGGTCATGATCTCGTGGTACATGAGTTCGAACCCTACATGGGGCTCTATGCTGACAGCTCAGAACCTGGAGCCTGCTTCAGATTCTGTGTCTTCCTCTCTCTGCTATTTCCCTGCTCTTGCTCTGTATCTCAAAAAAAAAAAAAAAAAAAAAAAAAAAAAAAAAAAAAAAAGAGTAGGATGCCTAACTGACTTGAGCCATGCAGGCCCTCCTGATGTTCACATTTCTAATCCTCTCTTAAATGTCATCATTTTTAAAACATTACATTTTGTTTAATCAGGATGCAAATATGTTCAACATATGCCAATGGTTTGATGTCTCTTGAAGTCTCCTTTGTGGGTTCCTTTTGCCTTTCACAGTTCTCCCTCCATCTCTATCTCAATCTTTATCTCTCTTTTTCCCCTTGCAAATTATTTGTTGAAGAAGTTAGATTGTTTGTCCGACAGAATTGCCCTTAGCCTGGATTTTGCTGAATGTAATCAGTAGGTGTTTTTGACATGTTTTACGCTCTTCTAGAATTTCTGTAAGTAAATAGTTGAACCTAGAAGATCTATCAAATCCAAGTTAGATTTTTTTCAGTACTGTTTTATAAGTGGAGGAATATAATGTCTCATATGTCTGTCTCTCCTTTTGTGATGTTAGCAGCTTTTGATGTTTAATACCTAAGTCCATTATTTCCTTATGGATTGCAAAGTAGTATTATTCTGTCATCCTTTCTTCATTTATTAGCCAGAACATTTCTGTAAAGAGAAACCCTCTCATCTGCTTTTTGGTTTCCCAGTGATATATTTCATATCATAGAAATTGCTTGATTTCCCTCCCCCTGCTTTTATTTATCAGCTATCAGCATATAGGAAATTGGTTCCCTAACATCCTCCAAGGTAGCCAGTGTGTTTTTTGTTGTTGTGTATCATCATGAACTCAGATTTATGCGTGTGTTTCAGTCCTCTGCAATTTTAGTCTTTCTACATGTTCAGATTATTCCATCTTTGGCCAATGGGAGCCTCTTCCTGTTGGCTTCTGAGTCCTTTAAACATGACCCCAGTAGACTTTCCCACTTGGCAGCTTCCCTCCTGCTCTCTGATTTGATGGGATCTAACAAAAATATCATTCATATTTTCTGGTTTTATTTTATTTTATTTTATTATTTTTTATGTCATCTTTGCACCCAAAGTGGGACTTGAACTTTTGACTCCAAGATCAAGAGTCACATGCTCTTCTCACTGAGCCAGCCAGGTGCCCCTACATCTCATAATCTCCTGGTTCTGACCCAGGATGAGACATTTCTCCAAGGAGCCCTGGTTCCTTTTAGTGAAAAATTGTATTACAGGCTGTCTCAGTCTGAATGCTAGAGGTGCACAGCATGTTTTACTTATTGTTTTTAAGACTTTTCTGTGAACATATATAGGAACTTTTAAAAAGTAAAATACATGCATGATAAAATTGGTACTGATACCACCAATTTAAATTCAGAAGCACAGCATCCTTACCTTATATATTCCTTTACTTATCTTCTTCAGTATTTCTTCTTCATACTGAAAATTCTGGTTCTCAATAACACTAGCAATGAGAAGATTAGAATATCATTCATTTGCCTTTTCCTACATTACATCCACAACGATCTTAGTATAACACTTCTAGCACTACTATCAATGATATTATTGAAAATAATTTAAGATTTTTTGGGAGGAGAAGGGAAGTTCTTTTTGTCCCTACTAAGGATATACAGTCAAATTACTATGTTTTAGTCACTTGGAATAGTTCCTCTCTGTGTAGTTATGTCACTATCTGGACACACATTTATGTTCATTTGTTTCATTCTATTTTTGATTTTTAAGAATTTTTTAAATTTCATTTATTTTTATAATTACATAAAATATTTATGTAATTCCAAACTATTATGTAGTCAACTAATTCTAGTTTCTATCCACCCCCCCACCTATAGATAACATTTTCTTTTAAAAATTTTTAAGATTTATCTTTCTGTTGCTTTGTTTTAAATTCTTTTTTTTTCTTTTTAATAATTAAGATGTAAAGAAAAGTTGCAAAAATTGTACATGGTGTTCTCACATATCCTTCATCCAGTTTCCCTTAATGTTAACATATTACCAAAACAATGTTGACATAACCATAGTACAGTTATGTCAGAAATCTTTTATGAGTTATAATTCAGTGTTGTATTTTTATTTTACTCAAATTTTTCTAGTTTAGTTCCTTAAGAGTTCTTTTCAGATTGACTTTTAATATACCCATTTATTTATCTTTTAATAGTTTTTTAAAGTGTATTTTTATTTGAGAGAGAGCTAGAGAGCAAGCAGGGGAGGAACAGAGAGAGGGAGACAGAATCCCAAGCAGGCTGTGTGCTGCCAGCACCCAGCACAGATCTTGATGTGGAGCTCGAACTCATGAGCGCGAGATCATGACCTGAGCTGAAGTCAAGAGTCCTACATTTATGGGGCGCCTGGGTGGCGCAGTCGGTTAAGCGTCCGACTTCAGCCAGGTCACGATTTCGCGGTCCGGGAGTTCGAGCCCCGCATCGGGCTCTGGGCTGATGGCTCAGAGCCTGGAGCCTGTTTCCGATTCTGTGTCTCCCTCTCTCTCTGCCCCTCCCCCGTTCATGCTCTGTCTCTCTCTGTCCCAAAAATAAATAAACGTTGAAAAAAAAAATTTAAAAAAAGAGTCCAACATTTAACCGACTGAGGCACCCAGGCGCACACCCCGCCTTTTTAAAATAGTTTTTTAAAGTGTATTTTTAAATATGCCCATTTAGCTTTTAGATTGGCTTTTCAGATTCACGCAGGCTTTTGATATGCCCTTCTGACATGGCCCCCAGTCCATTTTTGAGCACTTCCTAACTTTTTACCACTACAAGATGCTCCAGAGTCATCTTATATTTTCCTTGCCTAAGCCCTAGAATCAACCATTTCTCCAAGGAGTCCTGGTTACGTTCTTTGGAGAATAGTATTAGAAACCAAGATCTGGACACTAGATGTGGTTATTGCTACTGGGGTATCTGTCACTTCTTTTCACCACAGACAGAGCTAAAGAAATAAATGTAGTATGCTAACCCATGCATATACATCTGTATTCCTGAATCGATCTATCTATATAAGAATCCATGAGTTCATACTCATACCTCTGATACCACAGAGTTCACTCTATACCACAGTCAATACCACAGAGTTCACTCCAGACTTCCTCCTTTCCTCATTTGTAACTTCCTTCTCTGCCAGTGAGAAACCTGCTTCTTATTATCTTCAGCAGGTTTCTTTTAACATGAACAGATATGTGGAACTATTTGTATCTTCCATTCTCACTACTGAACATTCATCAGCCAGGCCAGGCTATGCATTCAGGAACTCTGCACACTGTGTTCTCAACGTAGCATGGTGGTTAAAAGCCAGACACCTGGGTTCAAATCCCAGCTCTTTTATTTACTCTGTGAGACCTTGAGCAAATTATGTTATTTCTTTGTGCTTCCAGTTGCTCCTCTGTGAAATGGAGATAATTCCTATCTCCTAAGATTATTTTGAGGATGAATGAAATTAACATATGTGAAGAATTTAGAACATTGCCTGTCACCTAGTAAGCATTCAATAAGTGTTGGCTCTTACTCCTACCTCTATTCATTTACTCATGCTCTTGCTTTCAAACAGAATACTCTCCTTCCTTTTGAATAGCCTTATTCACAACCAAGTTCATTTCCTTTTTTTTGTAAAGATAGCCCATATTGGTCTTTTTTTAAAAATTTTTTAAATGTTTATTTTTGACAGACAGAGCATGAGCGGAGAAGGGGCAGAGAGAGAGGGAGACACAGAATCAGAAGTGGGCTCCAGGCTCTGAGCTGTCAGCACAGAGCCCAACGTGGGGCTCGAACTCACACACCGCAAGATCATAACCTGAGCCGAAGTCGGATGCTCAACCAACTGAGCCACCCAGGCACCCTAGTCCATATTAGTCTTATTCTCTGAACTTATTTCATAATTTTAATCAGTTCCATAACTTGGTCAATCTGTTTTGTGGGTATCATTATTTTTGCTGCTTGTTTATTTCCATCATGGCTAGAGTATAAACCCTTTGATTTATTTACTTCATATATCGTCTACCACCAAGTAAGGCTCAGTAGATGCCCTATGGATTTGGTCTGTCTGCTCAGTCTAACCTTGGCAGCCACCTCAGGGCCCTGAGCTTCACCCTGGGTAATTAACTGTCAGTGACTCTCACCCTTTCTCTCTTCTTGCTGTCTTTCCCCAGTGCTGTCTTGCTCCTTCTGCTCATTTACTGTTCTGCCTTCCATATCTCTACTTCTCTTTCTCCTTCCTCGGTATAAAATCCTTTCCTCTTAGGGGCACCTGGGTGGATCAGTTGGTTGATCATCCAGCTTTGGCTCAAGTCATGATCTTGTGGTTCATGGGTTCGAGCCCTGTGTCAGGCTTTGTGCTGACAGCTCACAGCCTTCTTTGGATTCTCTTCCTGTCTCTCTGCCCCTCCCCTGTTGTGTGCGTGCGCATGTGCACTCACTCTCCCTCTCTCTCTCAAAAATAAGTAAACACTAAAAATAAATAAAAAGTTTAAAAGATCCTTTCCTCTACTGAAGCACCTACCACTTTATTTTTACTTATTTATTTATTTACTATTATTTTTTTTAATGTTTATTTATTTTTGAGAGAGAAAGAGACAGAGTATGAGCCAGGGAGGGTCAGAGAGAGAGGGAGACACAGAATCTGAAGCAGGCTCCAGGCTCTGAGCTGCCAGCACAGAGCCCAATGCGGGGCTCAAACTCACGAACTGTGAGGTCATGACCTGAGCTGAAGTCAGAGGCCCAACTAACGGAGCCACCCAGGTGTCCCTATTTATTTATTTTTTAAGTTTATTTATTTTTCTTGAGAGAGAGAGAGAGAGCACGAGCAGGGGAGGGGCAGAGAGAGGGAGAGAGAGAATCCCAAGCAGGCTCCACCCTGTCGGTGCAGAATCCAAGAGGGCTCGAACCCAAGAACTGTGAGATCATGACCTGAATCCAAACGAAGAATCGGACACTTAAACAACTGAGCCACCCAGGTGCCCCTATTTTTAAATCTTCTGGGTGTATTTCTGTCTTCCTCATTTGACCAAGAGCTCATCTGGGACAGGGCCCATTTTAGTTCTTTGTAGTCTCACTATTTAGTGTAGTGCCTGACACAGAATTTTACAGATGACATTTTCCTCACTGTTTCTTTTTTGCCTTTGAGATCTTCTGTCTTTTATATTGTGTTTCCCCCTGCTGCTCTCTGTTCTTCTCAGTCCATCCCTGTCCCCTCACCTCAGCCCATTTTCTGTCCATTTCTGCTGCAGACTGTGTATAGTGCCCTGGGCCTGAGGGATGCCTGCCGCTCCCTGCCCCAGTCCATCCAGCTCTTTCAGGACATTGCCCAAGAGTTCTCTGATGACCTGCACCATATTGCCAGCCTCATTGGGAAAGTGGTGAGTGGAAGACAGAGGCAGAACCCCTGGGGACCTAGGGAAGAGAGGTGGGATTGGAGGACACAGAAGGACTGTGCTCTGGGGAATGTGCTATGGAAGATGAGAGACATCAAAGTCAGTTGGATGACCAAAGAATGAGATGGTGAGAGGAAGTGTCAGAATGTCAGAGACCTGCTTGGAGGGTTAGGGTTAAAGCAGGAACTGCAGGGAGGATTGGGACCCGAGTAGAGGTGAGGAGCAGGATTGGGAGATGGTTCTGGGTGATGAGCAACTGGACTTTTTATCTCCTCAGGTGGATTTTGAGGGCAGTCTTGCTGAAAATCGTTTCACAGTCCTCCCCAACATAGATCCTGAAATTGATGAGAGTGAGTGTTGGGTGTGCAGTGGGGCTTATGGGCCCCAAACACGAGCCTGCCCAGTGATGGGGTACCATCATCAGTAGGTGGCCACTACAACTGGGGCTAACTAACCATGGCAAACAGGGCAGGAACCTTACTTTCGATACTCATATGTCTTCCACCCTCCTAGAAAAACGAAGGCTGATGGGACTTCCCAGTTTCCTCACTGAGGTTGCCCGAAAGGAGCTAGAGAATCTGGACTCCCGTATTCCTTCATGCAGTGTCATCTACATCCCTCTGGTGAGGGCAGGAGGACGGGTGTAGCCTCCAGGGGTCTTTTATGGGAGATATTAGGTTTATGAAGGACACACTGCTGGATAATAAAACCCCTGGGGAAGTGTGAAGAATATGAACATGGTGGTGGCTTTAGGCCCTTGAGAAAAGCACTGGAGAATACTGGGATCTCTGGCATCCTCTAGGGAGATAAGGTGCCCAGTACTTTACTCCCTGTTTTAACTCCTCTGCACTCTCCCCAGATTGGCTTTCTTCTTTGTATTCCCCGCCTGCCTTTTATGGTAGAGGCTAGTGACTTTGAGATTGAAGGACTGGACTTCATGGTAAGGCCCTTGACTTCTATGGCGGGGCGGGGGGGGGGGGGGGGGGGGGGGGGGGGGGGGGGGGGGGGGGGGGGGGGGAGGGTGATGAGGGAAATGAGTCAGCAGCTGAGGGAGGGCCTTCCCCCATCAGCACTGCCCAATATGGGATGTCTCTTCTACAGTTTTACTTTGATCTTTACCAGCTCTGAGATAAAAGAGAAAGAAGTCAGGTGAGAAAGAGATAAAAGTCCTGTACCCTGAAAACTATAAAATGATGAAAGAAATTGAAGATGACATAAAGAAATGGAAAGACATTCCATGCTCTGGAAGTGGAAGAACAATTGTTGTTAAAATGTTGATACTACAGTTTACAGATTTAATGCCATCCCTATCAAAATACTAACAGTATTTTTCACAGAAATAGAACAAAGAATCCTAAAATTTGTATGGAACATCAAAGACCCTGAATAGCCAAAGCAATCTTGAAAAACAAAAAACTGGAGGTATCACAATTCCAGACTTCTAGTTTTATTACAAAGCTGTAGTAATCAAAACAATATAGCACTAGCACAAAAATACACACATAGATCAATAGGACAGAATAGAAAGCCCAGAATATGCAATAGAGAGGGGCACCTGGGTGGCTCAGTCAGTCAGACTGACTCTTGGTCTCAGCTCAGGTCTTGATCTCAAGGTCGTGAATCAAGCCTTGCATTGGGCTCCACGCCAGGCATGAAGCCTACTTAATAAACTCAAAATGGATTAAGGACCTAAATGTGATACAGGAAACCATAAAAATCCTAGAAAGAGAGCACAGGCAGTAATTTATCTGACATTGGTTGTAGCAACATCTTTCTAGATACCTCTCCTGAGGCAAGGGAAACAAAAGTGAAAATAAACTATTGGAGCTACATCAAAATAAGAACCTTCTGCATAGCAAAGGAAACAACCAAAAAAACTAAAAGGCAACTGTGGAATGGGAGAAGATATTTGCAAATGACATATATGATAAAGGGTTAGTATCCAAAATATGTAAAGAACTTATAGGGGCGTTTGGCATGCGACTCTTGATTTCACAGTTGTAAGTTTGAGCTCCATGTTGAGTGTAGAGATTACTTTAAAAAATTTTTTAAATATTTATTTTTGAGAGGGCGGGGAGGAGCAGGGAGAGAGAGGGAGACACAGAATCTGAAGCAGGCTCCAGGCTCCGAGCTGTCAGCCCAGAGCCCAACGCGGGGCTCAGACTCACCAATGGTGAGATCGCCATCTGAGCTGAAGTCAAACCCTTACCCGACCAAGCCACCCAGGGGCCCCAAGATTACTTAAATAAATACAATTTAAAAAAAAGAACTTATATTACTCAATAACAAAGAAAAAACAAATAATCCAATTAAAAAATGGGCAGAAGACATGAACAGACATTTCTCCAAAGAAGACATCTATGGCCAACAGACACATGAAAAGATGCTGAGCATCACTCACTGTCAGGGAAATACAAATCAAAACCACAATGAGATATCATCTCACACCTAAAGCCACACTTTAGTCAGAATGGCTAAAATCAAAAACTCAGGAAACAACGTTGGCAAGGATGTAGAGAAAAAGGAACCTTCCTGCACTGTTGGTGGGGACAAAAACTGGTACCATCACTGTGTAAAACAGTATGGAAGTTCCAAAGAAAATTAAAAATAGAATTACCCTCTGATCCAGGAATCACACTGCTGACTATTTACCCAAAGAATACAAAAACACTAATTCAAAGGGATACATGCTCCCCTATGTTTATAGCAGCATTATCTACAATAGCCAAACTATGCAAGCAGCCCAAGTGTCCACTGATAGGTGAATGAATAAAGAAGATGTGGTACACACAATGGAATATTACTCAGCCATAAAAAAGAATGAGATCTTACCATTTGCAATGGCATGGAAGGATCTACAGAGTATTATGCTAAGTAAGATAAGTCAGAGAAGGATAAATTCCATATCATTTCACTCATATGTGGAATTTAAGAAACAAAAATGAACAAAGAAAAAAGACAAAACCAAAAAACAGACTCCTGACTATAGAGAACAAACTGATGGTTACCAGAGGGCAAGTGGGTGGGGGATGGGTGAAACAGGTGAAGTGGATTAAGAGTACATTTATCTTGGGGCACCTGGGTGTCTCAGTCGGTTAAGCATCCAACTTCGGCTCAGGTCATGATCTCAGGGTTCGTGAGTTTGAGCCCCACATTGGGCTCTGGGCTGACAGCTCAGAGCCTGGAGCCTGCTTCAGATTCTATGTCTCCCTCTCTCTGTGCCCCTTCCCCACTCACACATTCTCTCTCTCAAAAAGAAACATTAAAAATAAAAAGAGTACACTTACCTTAATAAGCACTGAACAGTATACATAGAAGTATTGAATCACTATATGTACACCTGAAACTAATATAACACCGTATGTTAATTATACTAGAATTAAAAATATATATATCAGAAATTATCAAGGGGAGGCATAACTAAACTAGTGTTTAAGAATGAATATTTGGGTGATAAACTTACAAAGAAAATAAAGAATTGATTCCCAGAAAGGTCAGAATAGAGGTTACTTTTGAGGAGCTGGAGAAGGTTGTGATAGGATGGCTCTCTGGGGTAGCTGGCAAAATTTTAATTTCTTAACTCAATTTGTAACCTACATGGTTAGTCACAGGGTATTTGCCTCATAATAATTCTTCTACACATTTGTTTAATTCAGTTTTTTTTCTTTCAATGTTTATTTTTGAGACAGACTGTGAGCGGGGGAGGGGCAGAGAGAGGGAGACACAGAATCCGAAGCAGGCTCCAGGCTCTGAGCTGTCAGCACAGAGCCCGACGTGGGGCTCAAACTCAGGAACCATGAGATCACAACCTCAGTGGAAGTCAGATGCTTAACTGAGCCACCCAGGCGCCCTGTTTTATTTTAAAATATAAAGTTAACGGGGCGCCTGGGTGGCTCAGTCGGTTCAACGTCCGACTTCGGCTCAGGTCATGATCTTACGGTCTGTGGGTTCGAGCCCCGCATCGGGCTCTGTGCTGACAGTTCAGAACCTGGAGCCTGCTTCCGATTCTGGGTCTCCCTCTCTCTCTGCCCCTCCCCTGCTCATGCTCTGTCTCTCTCTGTTGCAAAAATAAATAAAAACATTAAAAAAAATTTTTTTAAATAAATAAAATATAAAGTTAAAAAAAAAAGTTGGGGTGGGGCTGGAGGTGATGTTAGAGAAGATGGAGACCATTAATGCAAGGCCCACAGCTTTGAACCCTTGCACCCAGTTTCTGTCAGAGGAGAAGCTGCACTATCGTAGTGCTCGAACCAAGGAGCTGGATGCATTGCTGGGGGACCTGCACTGTGATATCCGGGGTGAGGAGAAGCAAAAGGCTGGAGGGGAGCGGGCAGCTTGGAGGATATTCTAACAGGCTCCTTTCTTCCTGCTCTCTCACTCTGACTTTGTACCTTTTCCTCTCAATGTCTCGGGGTGTCTCAGACTCTTTCTCTGCAAGCCTATTTCCAGGTCTTTCTGCTGGCTTCTTTGTCTCTTCTTCATTTTCTCCTGGAGCTAATGTCCACCCCCTTCCTCCCCTACCTCTAGACCAGGAGACCCTGTTGATGTACCAGCTGCAGTGTCAGGTGCTGGCGCGGGCAGCTGTCTTGACCCGTGTGTTGGACCTTGCCTCCCGCCTGGACGTCCTGCTGGCTCTTGCCAGTGCTGCCCGGGACTATGGCTACTCAAGGCCCCGTTACTCCCCCCAACTCCTTGGGGTCCGAATCCTGAATGGCAGGTGAGAACAGAAGAGGCTGGAGGCATAGACACAAGGGGCCCAAAGGCCCCATCTCTGGTGCCTTCATTTATCTGGATTCACAGGCCATGTGTGAGGTAACTCTCTACCCACTGCAGACATCCTCTGATGGAACTCTGTGCCCGAACCTTCGTGCCCAACTCTGCAGAGTGTGGCGGGGACAAAGGGAGGATCAAAGTCATCACCGGACCCAACTCCTCAGGGAAGAGCATATACCTCAAACAGGTGAGGAGAGGGGCACATGGGTAGCTCAGTCCCGTGAGCACCCAACTTCAGCTCAGGTCATGATCTGACAGTTCATGAGTTCAAGCCCCACATCGGGCTCGCTGCTGTCAGCACAGAGCCTGCTTTAGATCCTCTGTCCCCCTCTGTCTGCTCCTCCCCTACTTCTACTCTCCCCCAAATAAAAAAAAATAAAATAAAATAAAAAACAAGTGAGGAGAATCCCTGCACACTGGGCCTCTGGCATCTTTTTCATTGTCTCCATCTCCCACCTGCCTGCAAACATGGGTCCCTACAGCTCTTCCCCTGTGTTCTGACCCCATCTGTCATGAAAAGTCTGTAGTCCACACTCCCTGCTCCTCTACCTCACGTGTTCCCATTCTGTACTTGAGGGAGAGCCATGCTCTAACAGATCTTTCTGTGCCCTGAAATCCTCTCCCCCATCTCTGAATAGATCCATGCCATTCCCAGGTGTGCCTCTGCCCCCTCCCCCCTTCCTTTTTCCTGATTCTAAAGAAAGCTGAAGGGGCTCTACTCTCCTATTAAACTGTGTCCATCCCTCTTTGATCTATAATTCACCCCTCAGCCTTGACTCACCTTTACCCCAGCCCACATCATCAGGCCCCAGGCCCTGTCTCCTCCATTTCTAGGTAGGCTTGATCACATTCATGGCCCTGGTGGGCAGCTTTGTGCCAGCAGAGGAAGCCGAAATTGGGGCGGTAGATGCCATCTTCACCCGGATTCATAGCTGCGAATCCATCTCCTTGGGCCTCTCCACCTTCATGATCGACCTTAACCAGGTCAAAGGGAGCAAAGGGGGGTGGGATTGTGGGAGGGTATTAGTAAGGAAGGAACTCTACTCTTGAAAAATAATCAGGGGCACCTGAGTGGCTCAGTTGGGTGGGCGTCTGACTCTTGATTTCAGCTCAGGTCATGATCCCAGGGTTGTGGGATCAAGCCCCGTGTTGGGCTCCATGCTGAGCATAGAACCTGCTTAAGATTTTCTTCTCTCTCTCTCTCTCTCTCTCTCTCTCTCTCCCTCCCTCCCTCCCTCCCTCTCTCTTCCTCTGCCCCTTCACACCCCCCCCATGCTTTCTCTCTAAATGAAAAAAAAAAAAAAATCTAAAAAGAAAAATGATCAGAACAAGAAAAATCTTCATTCTGCAGCATGCCTTCTGTATTAGGGGCAGGAAACACCAAATTCAGAGACTGGGAGAATCAATACCATGAACTTTTACTGAACCTTTGATTTGCATGAGACACTGTTGGCAATGAAAGGATGAATGAAATGTGTCTTACCACTGAAGAACCTGCAGTCCAGTAGGGTGGACACATGTATAGCAGCTTTATTCACAGGCAGACTGTGGTCAGTGCATTACAGGCTTGAATGCCAATGAAATTCTCCCTTGTCCACCTGGTACCCAGCAGGTGGCGAAAGCAGTGAACAATGCCACCAAGCAGTCTCTGGTCCTCATTGATGAATTCGGAAAGGGAACCAACACGGTGAGGAGACAAAAGGATGAGAAACTGAGGAGGGGAAGCCGGGGGAAGACAAAGGAGCACGAGGGTGACGCTGTGCCTCGGGAAAGGAACAGGAGTGCATGGGGCAGGAAAGAAACAGAAAAGTGCAAGATGGGGCAGGCCAGGGCAGGTGGAGAGGTGTACACAGGGCACCTCTGGTTCAGTACCCTCACCCCTGCCCTCTGTGCAGGTGGATGGGCTTGCGCTTCTAGCTGCTGTGCTACGACACTGGCTGGCACTTGGACCCATGTGCCCTCACATCTTTGTGGCCACCAACTTTCTGAGCCTTGTTCAGCTACAGCTGCTGCCACAGGGGCCCCTTGTGCAGTATTTGGTAAGGAAACCCATCTAGCCCTCTAGGGATCCATAGGATGAGCATTTACCAGAACTGAGGACAGGCTCTTCAGGTACGACAGGGGCTCCCTGAGCACAGGAACCACATCCCTTCCCATTTCTCACTCCCCACAGGGATTGGCCAAGGGTTTCAGGGCAGGAAGCAGAGACATTGATGACACACTGTCCCCTTGTATCTCTTTTAAGACCATGGAGACCTGTGAGGATGGGGACGACCTAGTCTTCTTCTATCAGGTTTGTGAAGGTATTGCCAATGCCAGCCATGCGTCCTACACAGCTGCCCAGGCTGGGCTTCCCGGCAATCTCATTGCCCGTGGCAAGGAGGTGAGATCCAAACGTCAAGTACCTCCATCAGGGCTCCCTTCCGTTAGCCTGGCTTTCTGGGTCCATGGGATTTCTGACCCTTAGTTCCAGTTCTCTTACCCAACTCCCCCTCCTCCACACCCCACCCCCACCCCCACCCCCACCCTCCTTCTGGTTCCTAGGTCTCAGATTTGATCCGCAGTGGGAAACCCATCAAGCCTGTCAAGGAGTTGCTAAAGGAGAAGCAAATGGAAAAGTGAGTGTGTGGCCCAGTGTCCCGGCTCTCTCTAGCATGTCTGCAGCTCTTCTCCCCCTTTCAGGGACTCAGCTTCTTTGTCCTTCAGAGACCCACGATTTATCCTGAAATCCCTAAATTTTCCTGGGCTCCCTGTGCCACAGCCTCTCTCCTCTGCCTGGGGACTCAGTTATCTCTTCTCCCATAAATCCCATTTTTCTCTCTCCCATTAGTTGCCAGACGTTGGTAGATAAATTTCTGAAACTGGATTTGGAAGATCCCAACTTGGACCTGGACATTTTCATGAGTCAGGAAGTGCTGCCGGCTGCCACTGGCATCCTTTGAGAGTCCTTCCTTGGCTTTCCTCCACTTCCCAAGACCCCAGCGAGCTGCCATGCCCTGTCTCTTTCCTGGTCTCCCTCAGGCCCAAAATTCTCAATTTTCCTGGAAATTCTGTTTCACGTTAGGAATAAAGTTTATTTCAGAGCAAGGTATTGTTTCTTTAGAGCAGCATCACAAAACAATAGGAAAGACATGAAGCACCAAGCAGAAGTCCACAGAGGGGCCTGCCCTGCCTCATTAAGAACACAGTGACACTGGGGCACCTGGCTGGCTCAGAGGAGCGTGTGCCTCTCAATCTCAGGGTGGTGGGTTGGAACTCCATGTTGGGTGTAGAGATTACTTTAAAAAAAACAAGCTTAAAACAACACAGTGACACTGCTGTAGGGGGACCCTTGGGTTCTACCCAGGGGACTTCATGAGAACCAGCTCTTTCAACAGACCCTACAAAAGCAGATGAGAAGGAAGACAGAGAAACCCAATGGAGGTGGTCTTTTCCCCTTAAGTAGGAACACCCCAGCCTCAGAGACACAGCAGGAAAGGCTCTGAGAGGCTGAAAAGGTGGGATGGGCACCAGGCAGGGGGAAGGGGAGGGACCCACCCTGAGCACCAGTGGGCGTGGCTCCACCCTTCCCACCTCCGAGCCATGGGGAGCCAGGGGCCTGGAGGGCTGCCCCTGGTACAGGCCCCCTACACAGTTCTGCTGCTGCCATTAGGGACAAGCCTGCAAGACCCAGGGGCCCGGAGCTTCTTCCTCTGGGTGAGTATTAGCCCAGCAAGAGGTCCCAGGGAAGCCTACTTCCTGGATCTGCCCCTACATTTCCACTCAATTTTCAGGACCCGTAAGTCTTCTTCCCTGCTTCCCCTTGCCCTCCAGCTCAGTGGTCAGTCTGGGTTCACACTCAGTGACCAGTGAACCCAACCAAGGGTTGATAGAAACGGCCGGGGCTCAGAGCCCTGCTGGGGAGCAAGTCAGCCTCTGCTTCTGGCCTTTCCAGCTGCAGAAGATGCAGGCTCTGGAGAGAGAGCAGGACGCCCTGTGGCAGGGGCTGGAGCTGCTGGAGCACGGCCAGGCCTGGTTTGAGGGCCGTCTGAGGGAGGCACAGCAACAACAGCTGCATCTGGGGGCTCTTGGTGAGGTACGGGGCTTCTGTGCGGCGCAGGGGGGCTCTGGGGGCACGGGGGACATGTGGACACAGCCTGACACCACCCTGGAAAGGCAAGAGTTAATGGGCAGGGATCATGAATTGTAATGACTGGATGCCACCAAGTGCAGGTTGGTGTTCATTGTCGGGATTGGAGGAGGCCGGTCTGCATTCCATTCAGAGGGACCTGATTTGGATCACTCCATTGAGATGGGGGAGTGGCCTGGATTATTCCAATGGGTCAGGACTGGACAGGGAGGATCCATAAAGAACAGGGAAAGGGGTACTATCCCACCTGAGGGGGATGTTGAAACGGGACTGTTAAAGAGATGGTAGGGAGAGTATTGGATTTTTCTACCTGTCGGGGGGGGGGGG